GATGAGAGAATTCCAGCTCCTTCCACATACCTGCTGGGAGATGTGAAGCAATTCGCCCACCCATTCTGGGCCTCTGCTTATTCGTCTCTGTAATGTGGATAATAATTCCTACTTCCCAGCAGGGTTCTGGAATAAAGGATGAGAGGCACAAAAGCAGAGCTTCTGGAAGAAGCACAGACAAAGGAAGCTATTATTGTACTTTTCCTGGCCCCAGAGGAGGGAGCTGCAGAGCCCCACATTTCTTAGCAGAAATGTCTGTCCAGCTTCTGAGAAGTTCTTCAGCCCAGGAAGTTCCCCATAGAGGATTCCTGATAATGTTCTAGGGGATCCTAAGGTGATCTTTTAATATTTCATAACCCATCCGACACTAATGTTCAGCTAGAGCTCATGTTGGTTCACGGACTTATTCTTGGCTCTTAGCCTAGTCCTTTACCCAAAAAAGTTCCCTGTGCTGGAGAAGGTGATGTGGAATGCATGTCCCTGACCTTGCTTTGGGAATGCAATTGAGATCTGGTCCAGGTCACCCAGCTAGGAAGTAACAAAGTCAGAAGTACAGTACAACAGTTGGCAACTGCCATCTCAGAGGACCCCTTCAGGAAATGTTCGAAAAGTTATTTGAAGAGTTTTGTACTTAAGAAACTCATTAAGCAAAGATACTGTGACGACTTCCATAAAAAAAAAAAAGTCATTTGTTTTAGTGTGCTCATGGAATAGATGGCTTAAACGATGAATATTGATTGATTTTTCAGTTCTGGAGAATGTGAAGTTCAAGACCAAGTGGATACAGTGTCTGCTGAGGACCCTCTTGCTTTCTGATGACGAAGGATGGGAGGGGAAGAGAGGCCATCGTTCATGTCTCTGTTTTGAGAGCACCAGTCCCACTCAGGCTGTGTCTATATTCATGTTCTAGTTATCTCACAAAGGTCCCACCTCCAAATCTTATCACAATGGAATGAGACTTTGATGTAGGAATTCGGGGGGGGGGGGCACAAAAATTTTCATTACATAGAGTAATTCTTCTTCAAAAGCTGAGCAGGACTTTTTACAGAAGAAACCTATCAAGTTATGTAATTATAGTTCTCCATTCAAATAAAAAAAATCCCATCTTTGCAATTACTATTGTTTCTGGGAAGCTAAAAGCGCTAAAGCCCATGGTGGAATTTTAGAGCTAAGAATTAGAGCACAAAGAAAACAAGTTGGGAAATTAGGTGCAACTCAGAGATGTCTCTGTATTTAACCTCATATGAATAACACCATTAAACTGACTGCTGCTTATGGCCATCAAGTCTTTTTCTACTATCCTAGGGATGTTATTGTTCAGATTACTCCTAAAATTTATTCAAAAGGGGAGAGCAAATGTGGCCAATCAGACAATCCTTACTCCAGACATGGGTTCCCACAGCCCCGTTTCAAGTGTTCATTGGCCGTCAGAACTATAGGGCCCATGTGGCCTTTCTGCTAAATAGGACACCCACGGTCAACCTCCATAGCCAATACTCACCACGTGTGAGCTGTGCATTAAGTCTCAGACTGTGAAGGAACGGGAGACAAGTTCAAGCTAAGAGTCAAAGGAGTGTGTCCATGAAACAACTGCAGCTTTCATGATGGAAGGTAAGATCCCGTTTTCTACATATGGATCAAAGAAGCCTTGGAGAAGAAAAAACAAAAAGCTTGTTCCAAAGTTCACAACAGTCAAAAACCCAGATCTAGGGAAACATCTTTGAAACCCCCAGATCCTGAATGTGGCTTACCTCATTGTTTACTGCACCCTGGGTAACCAAATTTACAGAAAATGAAGACAGCCTCTCACTGCAATCAGCTCTGTCTAGATTACTTCCTCGGAGAGCCAAGCCCAGAGACCTGCACCAAGGAAACCAACACCTTCACCTGACCAAGAAAGCCACAAACAGACTCAATCACCCTAACAGTGGCTAATGAGGGTTCGGCAGTCTCCCGCTGTAAGCTGATCCTTTCAAGGGCAAGAAATTCTGAACACCCTAAAACTGCATGGGTCATCATACCCCGAGATGCTCTTCTAGAGCAAAATATGCCATTTTTCTCCAAGAAATGCTAAAAATAAGTAGCAGGTTTAATTGTTGGCTTAAATTGTAGGTGCCAAAGAAAGGAAATGGAGGCAGATTCCAGACTGCTGCTAGGGTCACTCTGTTCCCAGGTAGCCTCACTCTAACAGGCTGTGTGGGCAAGTCAGTCTAAAGATTCTGAAGACTTGGGATTTAGGACACTACAGAATAAAAGTGTAAAAACAGTAAAAATTATTCAGTAAAATATATGTTCAAATTTGCTCTAACTCTGCCCTTCCCTTTTTGTAAAACTAGTAACGTCCCTAGGAGCCTTATTGGAGAACTTTTTCCTCGGAGCTTAGTAATGTTTATGAATATAAATGTCTGCTCAGGATGCTCCGCTGGATTTCTTTCTTGTGGCCAACTATTGTAAGGTGATTAGTTCCTGCAAATCGCCCCTCTTGACAGAAAGTTCACCACCCTCCATTCATTATCTGAGCCTCGAACAGAAACGTCAATGCATTACGGTGTAAATGGAAAGGTCAGTCATGTCTATCATGACCAGAGGACTGGGACTTGTCAGAGAAGCAGGTCTGTCCCTGTCCTGACACCCTGGGTCATTTCCCCAGGGTCAGTTACTTCTTAGCTTCTGGAAAGTCAGAGGGCTAGGTGATAATGTCCTTGCTGTTTTCTGAGGAAAGGAGATAAGGCATCCAGGAATGACTCCTGGAAGCTGAGAGAAGGGCTAGTGGGAAATGAGATGAAGCCCTATGTCCACATAAATCTGGACAGTATGGTTTGGGTGTCCACAGGTGGAGTGTTCTGGGTTCTCTGGATCCCCACTTTGCCTTCTGTAACTTCTATCACCCTTAAATACTTGATGGCAGCTTTGTAGGTGAGCAATCCTAGTAGGCAGAAAGTATATGTCCCCCAATTCATTTGCTACACCGCATTCAGAATGCATTTGCATTTATCGCCCCTGTCTCTGAGGCCCACTAAAATGACAGTACTATCCCAGCAAGGTACAACAGAAGCATAATCCCTGGTAAAGAACCATGTATGTGTAGAAAGTTTGACATGCTTCTGAAATAAGATCAGGAAAAAAATGAAGTAATGTCTGAGGAAGCAAAATGAAGACACAGATGTGAAGTGCTGCTCAGGGGTGGGAGGTGAGCCCCAAGGAAAAGGGTCTGGCAGGCAGGTGAAAGTGAAGGCATTCTGGGAGTCCGCCGGAAGAGGGACAGAACCTAGGGCAGATAACTGGAATTCTAGGTGTGCAAGATTCAAGCTCCCTCATCCTCTGCGAAGGCAAGACATTCAGATGTCTGCCTGTTATGCCAAAAGCAAATAAGTAAGATTTTATAAAATCTATTGCTGGGGGCTAAGCTGTGTCTTCACATATTGAAATTCTAACCCCCCAAATCTTAGAATGGACTGAATTTCAAGAAATGGCCTTTAAAGAGGTAATTCAGTAAAATTAGGCCAGAGAGAAATGTTTGTATCATATTTTTAAGTGGAAAGGGGAAAATTATAGAATACAGTTGTGCTATTTAGTTATTTTGGGATGGTGGACTTCTAGATGAACTTTCTGTCCTGAGTTCATTCACTGGACTATGGAGTATCCACGTAGGTTATGAAGTGACCACTACATTCATTCAGAAGGCTAAGAAGTATATGCTGAATCCATTCAACAGGCTAGGAACTGTCTGCTATATTCATTCAACAGGCTAGAGAGTGTCCACTGCATTCATTCAACAGGCTAGAGAGTGTCCACTGCATTCATTCAACAGGCTGGAGAGTGTCCACTGCATTCATTCAACAGGCTGGAGAGTGTCCACTGCATTCATTCAACAGGCTGGAGAGTGTCCACTGCATTCATTCAACAGGCTAGAGAGTGTCCTCTGCATTCATTCAACAGGCTGGAGAGTGTCCACTGCATTCATTCAACAGGCTGGAGAGTGTCCACTGCATTCATTCAACAGGCTAGAGAGTATCCACTGCATTCATTCAACAGGCTAGAGAGTGTCCACTGCATTCATTCAACAGGCTGGAGAGTGTCCACTGCATTCATTCAACAGGCTAGAGAGTGTCTACTGCATTCATTCAACAGCTAGAGAATGTCCAGTGCATTCATTCAACAGTCTAGAGAGTGTCTACTGCATTCATTCAACAGGCTAGAGAGTGTCCAGTGCATTCATTCAATAGACTAGAGAGTGTCCACTGCATTCATTCAACAGCTAGAGAATGTCCACTGCATTTGTGATGAATTTCAACTTCTAAAAAGCCCCAAGTAACAATAATGAAGGTTTTGGAGGCCTCCCTATCAAAGCAAACACAGCTTTTCTCCAAAGCACTATTTAATCATGATTTATTAACAACTTGCGTTTTCCCAGTTGACAGGATTCTTTCTCTGTTCTCTTCTATCAGAAGTAAATCCCACAGTGCATCACTCCAGCTATGAGCTGACTTCTCTGGAAACCCTCAGTGTCTCCCTGCCTTCCTCTTGTTTCTAGATCAGCTGTCAATTAGTACAGGCCCCCCAAATAGGGGTTGAAATCTGCATTGCATTATCTGTCACATTAGTTACAGAGAAAATGGCAGAGATACCCAGAGACAAGGAACAGAGGATTTTGGATAAACAACAGTGGTAGTTATGTAGTAGCTGAACTGAATCACAGGCACCAGAGCTTGTAACAGCGTTTTGAATTGCAGGATCAAAGGTAACTGCTCCCCACTTAGATAAACTATCCATTTAGCTCAAACATTGAGAGTGGATTTGTAGACATGGTATTCTATTCGGTAATAGTGTCAGAAAGCAATTATTGATGACATTTGTGGTGCACATTTAAATTTGGAGAAAGAAATAGAAAAAAAAACAAAGAACTTGAGTGCTTTGCTATACATACTGTCATGATTTCAGAGGATGTGGAGATGAAAGGAAAGATCTCTTTACAGACTCTGTAACTGATTTTATTTTTTCAGGCTCTCGACACAGGAGTTAGAATGGATGCCTCCCTCCTCGGGTGTGTAGTACAGACTCAGAATAGATTGTTTAATCCACACAGCTCTCCACGGTCTTCTTAGGGGAAGAGAAAAGTCCTGATTAACTTTTGATTCTGAGAGGAGATGCATAGGAGGCCTGAGATTGAATTGAACCTGAGGTCTTTGTTAGAATCTGTGTTTATGCCCTTCATCATTGGAATAGCTCTTTTCTTGTTAAGAAGAACATTGATCTGTGTTTCAAAAAAAAGTATTGGTCTTGTCTTCAGATCCATGATTCCTTTATCTGCTGTGGGGAGGAATAAGTGGATAAAAGCCAAAACCTGCTTGTCTCTGCATCAACCTCCCCTAGTTCTTCATTCTCCTTCAGGCAGAAAGATGGTGGGGCCATAGTAAAGATGTATTTCAGATACTGAGCTATTTCTTGAGAAGACAACCTGACATAAAAGTTAGGTGGGGCAGTGAAGCACCAGGGGATGCCCAGATCTGCCCTCTTCATCCTGGCTACCTTCTCAGCAGCACTGCACTGATGGACCTCTCTCCCCACTCTTCTTCACTCCTCTCCCGATCTCTGTTTCTTTTCTGGTCCTTATCTGGCCTATCATAGTAAGAGGTCAGTATATTTTCCACACTTGGATAATCTCATTCAAGAATTTTTGTCAATGGACAAGTCATAAGAAGCCATTCCATTTTAGAGCTCGTTGACGTCACCAAGGAGGCGATAAATATCTGTTGATATAATTGGATGTGAGATTCAGTGTTGAAATAGCAGAACTCTGTCCCTCGCTCCTTGGCAGGGCCCTATGATTTATGCAGGAGCAGAGGCAGCACGCAATCGAGCTGTCAAGAGAGCGTCAGCTTATTAGGCAAATGCTGCGTGCTTTCTGAAGAGGGTCGACGTTATAAAACCTCACTCCAGGCTCTGGTGTGGAGAAACTCAGAGCCCAAGTACGTTGAGAGACTGAAGAGAAAGGGAAGAGGCAAAGAAAGGAGAAGAGAAAGGCGAAGAGGAAGAGATCCTGCAAGAGATCCTGCAAGAGACATCCTGGGAGAGGTTCCTCTGCAGAGGCAGCAGCAGCAGGCTCACTTGCCAAGGGAGGAGAAGGTAGGCAGCGCCTAGACGGGCGCCACCAACTTTGTGCTGCCTGTGCGGGAGTGCCTGTGCCTGTGCGTGCATGTCTGTGTGTCCCTAACTGTGCCTTAAAATTCCAGCGGCAGCGGTGATGTGGCAAAAAGCAAAGTTAGACGGCTGCTCATCTTTATCCACCCAATCTGCCACTTACCGCTCACAGTCTGTGTAAAGAATGGCTCCCCCATCGCGTCCCGCGTCCATCCCGACCCCCAAGCAAAGGGAGCAAGGGCAGGGATGGAGACAGAGGAGTAGTTCTCAATTTGGAAGAAAAGGCTGTCCGAAAGGGGGCGATCAGGGCGGGCGATAGCTTAAACCTGTGGCGCTTCTTCGGGCTCAGGGAAGTCTGTTTTGAGAATACGTTTGGGAGATCCTTAGGAAGAAGAGGAGTCAGGGGTTGTCCCTTCTAGGTCTCCAAAGACGAGTCACCTGCTGGCTAGCAGATGAGCCTTACGGGGCACTTGGCTTCAGCACCGCGGACAGTGCCAACGGTGCCCAGAGCCGGGCTTGTCTGTGGGTGTCAGATGGGAAGCTTGGGTGCACCTCCCAGCTGAGCTAAACTCTAACCAGTCCTCCCTCTCTTCCCCACCTTCTCTCTTCCGCCCTCCTCCACCTCTGTGCTGCAGCGAGCGCCCCTAACATGAGGCTGCGACTGCTGGTGTCCGCGGGCATCCTGCTGATGGCTCTGTCACCCAGCCCTCCGTGCGGGGCCCAGCTGAGCAGGGGACCCGTCCCAGGCGCTCCGCGGTCCCCGCAGCCCCTGAATTTCCTGCAGCCAGAAGAGCCCCAGCAGCCTCAGCCGGTTCTGATCCGCATGGGAGAAGAATACTTCCTCCGCCTGGGGAACCTCAACAGGGGCCCCACTGCTCGGCTGTCGCCCGACTCCTCGCCCCTCTCCGCGGGTCGCGACAGCCGCCCCTCGCAGGACCAGGCAGCCGCTAACTTTTTCCGCGTGTTGCTGCAGCAGCAGCAGCAACAGCAGCAGCAGCAGATGCCTCAGTTCTCGCTCGACAGCCGCGCGGGGCCGGCGGAGCGCGGCGCCGAGGACACCCTCGGCGACCACCAGGGGGCGCGGGAGAGGGTGAAGCGGGCCGAACCGGCCATCTCTCTGGATCTCACCTTCCACCTTCTGCGGGAAGTCTTGGAAATAGTCAAGGCAGACCAGTTAGTGAAGCAAGCTCACAAAAACAGGAAACTGTTGGAGATGGCTGGGAAATGAAATGGTGCGTTTGGCCAAGGCGATTCTGCATTTAGCGCAACAGTGAAAACAAAAAGTTTAAAACAGTATTCTGTACCATATCGCAGCTCTGATATTGTTTATTTATTTTTATAGAGCTTGAAGCATAAGACTATGTACAGGGAGAGAGCCTATATAATTATTATTTGATCAGCATGCACAAAGTGTATTTCTGTGCAGTAGCAAAACAGTGTGATTTGAATTGCCCGTGCTTAGTTTTCCGTGTGCAAATAAGTGTCTTTATAGCTGTATCTTAAAGAAAACGTGGACCCACGGAAGAAGGTTTTTTGAGAAGAATATGGAAGTCACTGGTTGTTTTGGGGGGTCACAGCAGAAAAGAATTCATTCTCAAGGGGTGGCCAGGACAAGATTGCAAGCTCTTCGAATCAACATTTTCTTGTAAACGTTTCAATAATAAAACATCTGTCCAATCCTTGGTCAATTTGGTTGTGTAAGAGAATGCTGAACATTTATATTTTTAATAAAATCTGCAAAGGTTATTGTGCTTTTATGTTTCCTCTTTAGTGTGTATACAGAAATGGCCCCCAGCACAGGGAAATAAAAACAACACAACAAACAAAACTCCACAAAACCTCCTACATTTTATTTTCTCCTAAACCCGCCAATGTTTGTTAAGTAGCTCACACAGACCCTGGGCTTTTCTCTGTACTTCACGTTTCTCTTTGAGATTGAGTTAAATAATTGTAGAGGTTCCTCTCACCTCTAAAATCTGATAATTTTGCAACTGGAAGATCAGTTACAGTGGAAATTAACATGCAAACATAATTTGTGTGTGTGTGTGTGTGTGTGTGTGTGTGTGTGTGTGTGTGTGTGTGTATAAGTGTGCACCATGGCAAATGTGTAGAGGTCAGAGGATGATTGGCAGGAGTCAGTCCTTCCTACCACATGAGTCCTAGGGACTGAACTCAGGTCTTCAGGCCCAGAGGCAAATACCTTTACGCACTGAACTACCTCACCAGCCTTAGACAGGAGAAACTTAATAACACAAACACTTCAAGTAACTTAAACAGATTTGCTGAAAGGGGCACTTGGGAAATTTTTTCTTAAAAAAAACATTTTGACTTTAATAACTGCACAAATACCCTTCATATTGTCTCTATTGCAATCCTAATAACTGTTACTTGCAGGACTGTATTATTTGCTTCTAAAATTAAACAGCACATCTAATTAGTTTGACAATATATTTGCCTTTAGTAGTTTAGTTACAGCTTTAAAAAAATCTCAGTCCCATGATTAATACTTTAGAATTAATTTATATGTATGAAGATAGTACTTCTCTGGAGGCCCTTGAAATATGCTTGACTAATGGCTTAATAATATAATATGAGCAGTTAAATAAATCGTTTGGAGACTAAGGTTTTTAAAAAATGACATTTATTTAAGAGTTCATTTAAAGTTACACTTATGTGAGGAAGGCATCACAGTGATAGACAGATGATAGATGATAGATAGATAGATAGATAGATAGATAGATAGATAGATAGATAGATAGATGGAGAATTGTGTATATATTTCAATACATGCAATTCCACAGTTAGTTTATTAAATTGCTGCTAGGGTGGACACATAAGAAAGTAGACTGTTTCTCCCAGAAAGTCTTCAATTAGAATGCCTGATATATGAATATAAGATTATGAGATATGTGATTAAGATTAGAAAAATGTCAAAAGAAATGCCCTAGATCTTTGGCCTTTTGGACTACAGAAGTGTGGCCAAATTCAAAGACTACTTCCGGCTGCACATCCAATGACAGGTGTAGAAATGAGGAACCTTTGTAGAGCCCTTCTTAGCCTTGGTCAGTGATCGATCGCATGCCTACATTTTGATAAATCGGTCGGTTCTGAACTGATACTGAATGCTAAGGAGAAAAGAAGAAGAAAAAAAAACACACCTGCGCTAAAAATAACAAGAAGCCGGTGCCCATGAGAGATGGGAGTGTAGCGCCCACTATGTCAACACTTGCCACTTATAGCTGATGGGCACACATGTACCACACCTACACAGCCCTTCAGAATGTTTCCTACATAATGAAAGATTTGCATAAGATCAAGTTTCTTTATACCAGTGTTTGCTGAAACTTTGTTCTGAGCACATTCATTTTCTCGACAAGTTAGGTAAGTCATCTGGAATTAAAGGTTTATTGCTTTCTTTCAGAAATCCTGTGCAGAGGTCCCATTCATATGCATCATGGTGAATTTCACCCACTGCCTGTTGTGCATCTCACCCGGACCGCCAGGGGCCGCCAGAATAAATATCATTCATTCAGGGAATTCAACCAGGAGAAGGAGAAGACGTGGCGAGCTGGTTCAGAATCAGCCCCACCCCCACTCCCCGAGGCTGAGGCCTGTCCCTGGGGAGAAGGTGCTTCAAAGCCAATCTGCAAAAGAAGAAAATGTGGATGAAAGAAAGCAGAGAGTAGACCTTTGGGGAGTTGGTCCAGGCATCGTTCTATCGAGGAGAGAGGATGATAATAATAATTATATGAAGCATAATTATTATTAGGGACAGAAAGCAAGCTCAGGTTATCTCAGCTATGGTCAAGAGCCATGAAAGTGATTCACACTCATGATTCAAAGGGAATAGCAATAACACATGCAGTGGAAGGACACTTGATGGAAACAGGTCAGGCTGCCCAAATGTTTTCCCAAGTTCAGCTGAGCATGATTTACTGACATGACAGGCTCATTCACACAAACAGGTATCTAGGTTCACAAAAATCTGCGGAACTGATTAAAATCCTTCTGGATTTGTAACTCAGCTCAGTGACCGAGTGCTTTCTCAGCATCTGTAGGACCCGAGTTCCATCCCCAATGTGGACAGAGAGAGGGCAAGGGAGGGAAGAGAGAGGGGAGGGGAGAAGAGAGGGGAGAGGTCTAATTTAAATGGTGTTGCTGTATCATGATACTGCAGGATGGATTCATATTCACATAATCTCTCCACTGCTGAAGTTAGAAGTCTCTACCAGATTACACTCATGTGCCACCTAATAGGGGTATGCTTCTAACAATGCACCATTAGGTGACGTCACTGCTGTGTGGACACCAGTGTGCATGCACACATACCAAGATGAGACAATATCAGCAAACCATACTGTCTAAAAGAATCATACACGGGGACATCACTGACAAAAACATTATTTTGCATACATTTATACATTTATATACCCCTTCAGCTTTGCACACACCCCACCCCACCCCAGTTTTGCAAAGCTGAAGGATTAATCTTGAGCAAATCCTGAAGGGAATTTCTCTAGGCATTAAAATCTGATTATACAAAACCAAATCTAATATCAAAACTTCTAAAAAGATAATTCTGATAAATATCTGAATGATATGGGTGGTAGATTTGCTGACCGATTCAGTCTTATAAATGAACTCCATGTTGTCTTGACTTTTGAAAGTCACAGCATAGTGGAACAACAGACATACATATAAAAAGACTTGCAATTGGATTGTATTCACTCAAGCTGTAAAGGCACCATGACGAACCTGGTTTTGCCCAGGGAAAATGGTCAAGTATGTTCTCACGCTTCTCTGGCAAACTCTGCAGTACCGAAATGCCAAAGGCTTTGAAGTGGTGAGGGAGCACACGTTCTCGGTGCAGAAGTCCCCGGGGTGGGGGTGGGGCTGCGAGGATGCCATACAAAGCAGAACTCTGGTAAGTATGAGTATATTACTGCTATTCGTAGTAGTTTTTAGAGGAAAATGAGTGCCTGGCAAGCACCTTCCCAGTTATATATAACCATAAATGTAGGTTTGGGGTGACATTTAAAAAAACAGCACAATCATAGTGGGTTATTTGGTTTTCGGATTCTCTTTTTTGATACCAAATTGCTTCTTGGTAGAAGTTAATAAGGGCTATGAGGTCGTGTTAGATTAAAAGTGAAGCACACTGTTTTCTGAAAAAAAAAATTAAAAAGTTGGAATGTCAAGTGAAGTAGGTTTTCTTGGTAATGAGTTAGATGTCCCCTGATCCTGAGGTGGAGCCAGGTGTGGAGGCACATGGTAAAGGCAAGAGGAACAGGAGTTCAAGGTCACCTTTAGCTACATAGTGACTTAAGGCTAGTCTGGGCTACTTGAGATTCTGACCCCAAAAAGAAAAAGATTGAGGTGGAGTAGATGTTATCTTCAGAGTCCCGGGGCTGATTGTACCACACCTTCTCTGGCCCAGCAGAGTCAACTACCCCTAATGCTAAACCCAAACAGCCCAACGTCAGAGGACGCGACACTGTTTCTTCTGATCACTTTGGATGAGAGGACAGGGTATTCTGCCTGGACAACCTGTCTTTTCTTGGAAGGCAGTGCCTACTCCAGAGCCATTGTTTCTGTGACAGCTGGAAACAGCTCACAGGTGACACCAATCGGGCTAGCTATTTCCTGCAGAGGATTATCATGTTTAGGCAAGGGTGGGTGGCTGATATGCTGTTTGGGGTTGCTTTTGGAATTTGCTGGCTTATAAAAGCTTTTCTGGACCAAGTATTAAAATCTACTCCCTGTTTAAATATTTAGCTGCTGGTACTGCTGGTTGTCAAAACCAGATTAAATCATTTGAGTTTGTCGATCATACACCCACCATGGATGGTTCCAGGCATTTTTTTTCCTCTCCAAACAATATGGACCGATATTCTCACTTTCAGAAAAGAAAGTAACAGAAAAGCGGTTGAGAGCAGAGATTGTCTGGAGTGTCTTCAGTGTTCATGCTATCTCTTTGGGCTGGGGACTTACCAACCATCTCAGCAGGAAAACCCGTGGCCACTTAGCTGAGATTTGAATCTCAGATGCCAGGTTAGCTTCGGTTGTTAACTTGACACACCCAGGAAGAGGGAACTGCAATTAAGAAACTGACTGCCTCTGACTGACTTGTGGGCATATCTGTGGGACATTTTCTTATTGCTTACTGCTGTGTGAGGACCTGGCCCACTGTGGGTGCTACTATTCCTAGGTAGATAAATCTGGGATGTTGTCTTAGTTAAGGTTTTAACAGCTGTGAAGAGACACCATGACCACAGCGACTCTTATAAAGAAAACATTTAATGGAGGGTGGCTTGTTTACAGTTTCAGAGGTTCAGTCCATTGTCATCATGGTGGGGAGCATGGTGGCACACAGGCAGACATGGTGCTAGAGCTGAGAGTCCTACATCTTACAGGCAACAGGAAGTCAACTGACTCACTGGATGGTATCTTGAGCACAGGAAACCTCCAAGCCTGCTCCCACAGTGGCACACTTCCTCCAACAGGGCCATACCCACTCCAACAAAGCCACACCTCCTAATAGTGCTACTCCCTATGAGATTATGGGGGCCAATTACATTCAAACTACCACAGCTGTGTAAGAAAAATAGCTGAGCCAACCAGTAAGCAGCATCTACTGATTCCTGCTTCAGGTTCCTGCTTTGATCTCCAGCCTTAACTTCCCTGGAGGCTGGAGTATAACCTTTAAGTCAAACAAAACCCTCCCACCTCAAGTTGGCTTTGGTCGCTGTCTTATCACAGTGACAGAGAAGCTAACTAGAACACCAGACCAACTGCTAACCAGGGGTGTGACTTGGGCAAGTTACTTAGCCGTTCTGAGCTCAGTGTTCTCTTCTGTGACACAGAAAAGAAATCCTGCGTTATGAGGATTGAATAAAGTAACGGACATGAGACACTTTGCACACGCCTACTTCCTAGTCAGTCATTCCTCCCTCTCTGTTCCCTTTCTCCTTCTACTCCCCTCTACCTCCTCTTCTTCCTCACTACAGTGGAGAGGCGCCTCTGTCACACAGAATGAATCACGGGCCATTTCTGGTGAAATTATATAGTGTCAATAACCTCCAATGAGGAAAGACAATTGTATGGTAATTGTATTTGCATCCTCACCTTCCCAGAAGCAGAGGCAATTTATATGATATGACTCTTTTGACATGTGGTAATCATGGTCATCTATGATGCTCTTCTATATATCTCAAGTGATCCAGCTCTCTGTATGTTATCTCAGGATGGATAGAAACCACCACCCAGCAAACCAAAAGCATATATTCTTCCTGTTGTTTTCCCTTTTTTTTTTTTTTTTTGTTTTTCAAGACAGGGTTTCTCTGTGTAGCTTTGCGCCTTTCCTGGAACTCGCTTTGGAGACCAGGCTGGCCTCGAACTCACAGAGATCCGCCTGGCCCTTTTTAAATGGAATCCTGTGCTTTGTGCTCTCTCAAACATTCTTTGGCAAGGTGGATGCCATAGAGAAGAACAAAGTGTTGACTGTGGCTAGCTTTGGTCTGTATGAAAATGAAAACCAGGGACTTCTGGTCCCACATCACTTGTAGGTTTTAATATCTCCTTAGGTGGCCGTGATGCATACTCTTCACTGTCACCTAGACTGAATTTTCAGTTGCCTAAGAGATGCACCAGGGCACGCCTGTGAGGTCCTTTCCAGAGCACTTTCACTGAGGATCTAAGACAAACTGTGAATGTAGGCAGAAGCATTTGTGGGTTGTGGTCCCAGACTGAATAAAAAGCAGAGAAAGGAGGAAGCCTGCTGAGCCCCAGCATTCACCTCTCTGTTTCCTGACTGAGGATACAATGTGACCAGCTGCCCTGTGTTCCTGACACATGCCTCCCTCGCCATGATGGACTGTGGCCTCAAACTGGGAGCCACAATGTACTCTCCCTCCCTGCCTCCCTTCCTCCCTCCCTCCCTGCCTGCCTGCCTGCCTTCTGTCAAGAATCTGTCAAAGTGACAGGAAAAGCATCTAACACTGTAGCAAAACTGTATAGCCATCATTTGACACTGTGCTCGAAGGCCACAGGAATACAGATAATTTGATCCCCCGGAACTGGAGTTACAGTTGTAAGCAGCCTTGTGTGTGCTAGGAACTGAACCCAGGTCCTCTGCAAGTGCTCTTAACCATTGAGCCATCTCTCAAGCCCTGGAATACAGATAATTTGACAAATACAAATTTTCATCATAAAAAGAACCCAGGAAGTGGAAGAAAGAGGCAGCATTAACTTTGTCTCAACTCTTAACGGGATTTGGTCAAAATTCACAGACACATGCAGGAGCAGGAAACGATGTCCTTTTCCTCAAACATTCTGCTTAGGCTATTCGTAAGACGAGACTCTCAAGGGACAGAGTGCTTTCTTCTCCTTTGTTATTGCCTTACTACTGCATCAAATGAACCTTGAGAAGGGGTAAGTGAGTGTCTGCTTACCGCATTGGGGTATGGCCTCGCTCCACTGGAGAGCCGGGTAAAGCGAGGCATTCCCTTTCAGAGACATGTGCTATGTAGGCATCATCCTTGACACCCGCCCCCGTGTCACCTAGAATCACTTCTTGCTGATGGAGATTAAGGAACATGCATCTTGCCAAGGCTGATGGGCAGCAGAATCTTAGCAGGTCAGCTCC